TAATCAAATCAGGTTGGGTTTCCATTACGCGTGCCAAACGTGCCAAACGGTGCCAATCCCCTTTGATCTGACATCAGATGTGACGGGACAGTCGATATAGAGATACATTTATGTGCTGATTGCAGATAGTTGCATTGAATTGTGTTTTTTGGGTATTTATTGCATCGTTAATGTGCCTGATATTCTGGAAACCTGCCTGTGAGGTTTTGGTGACGTGTGTGCACTGTCCGCCGGTCAGCCAACCTTCGGCTTATACCGGCTGCGCTCCTCCTGCGCTGACAGTAGACCTGGTTTCAGTTGGCAAGCTTTTAGCGCACCTTTGCCGAAGCCTTTTGGCACGAAACTGTCACTGCGCCAAGCTGGATCTGTCGACACCTCCCCCTGCTGTGCCGCCACACCCATCTCAGCGCACCTCGGTCTGCCAAACTACCAAACTGAGTGCGCCTCGGGTTGCGCTGCTCGAAACTAGCTCTGCGCGGGGTTTGCCACCCTGTGCCACCCTGCGCTGTGCCGGGAAACTAGAGCCCGAGGTTTCAAACGTCTCACGGCAACACGACGAACCTTTTTAACCACCTCAGAAGAAAGCAATCACCAGTGAGGTCATCAGCAGCTGTTGTTTTTATTTTTATTCTACTTTTCATGTTTATTAGAATGTTACTTACCTCACAAACAGCCTGAACAGACTTGTCTCTCTGAGCATCTGAGTCCAGTAAGATAACTGACTGTTACTGGTCCTACCAAATGTGGAAGTCTAAACTATGTCAGAATTACTCTGTGTGCTCAGTAGTACAGTGTGTGCTCAGTAGTACTGTGTGTGTACTCTGCAGGTTGTTCCTTCACAGCGTGGTCTCGGCTCTTCTCGGGGTCTGTCTGGTTCTGGTTGTTGCCTCCTACGTCTTCATCGAGTTCTTTCTGGACCCGTCCAAACTCCGCACTGACAAACACTTCCTGGGTAAGAGCTGACCTTTAACCCCTGACATCTGACCCCTGACCCTAACTCAGGTTGAAACCCTATCCTGTGACTCTTCCAGTGTGTAGTGGAAGTGTCCTTTGGCAAGACACTGAACCCCAAACCCCATACCTTGTATGGTGGCCTCGACCACCAGTGTGTGACTCTATGTAGAAGTGTAAAAGTGCTCAGACTGGTAAGAAGACTGTAAGGTGATGTACAAGTCCATTTACTAGTTGGCCTTGAAATTGGAAGTGAGAATCTTGAATTTTTTTTTTAAATTCCCTGACACATTGAGGGCTTGAAGTTAGGTCATGGTCATCTAACCTTTGCCCTATCCCCCTAACCCGTGCATCAAGATACTTAACGGGACTCTGGAGGTGCTGTTGAGAAGCGTTCACGTAAAACTGGAGAAAGATCACTTTTGACGGACTAATGACCTCCCTCAGTTTGCGGGACCAATTCTGACCAGTCCTGTCCAATTTCAGTGAAAACTTTACTGCCTCAAACATTGACAGGCTCCTCTTGGTCCTGTCCATCTGCTGAACTCCAGTCCTGGTGTACAGGAGGCCTGTTCTGGTGGCCTTTGCAAACAGAGAAAGGGGCAGCATGAGCGGAGGCCTTCAGCATGCCTGACACCTCAACCAGCACCAACAGATTGCGGCCATCAGGGTCCATCAGAAGTTATCATCCACGGCCACACACAGACTGTAATCCTGTGATAACACTGGAGCAGGTGAGAGGAGAGCTGTACAGGTTCCGCCCAGACAGGCTGCAGGTCCTGACAGTGTCAGCCTGAGGGTGTTCAGAGCATGTGTCACCTAGCTGAGAGTTCTCCAACACATCTTAAACATGAGCCTAGAGATGGTCCCTGTGCTGTGGAGGACATCTGGTTTGGTTCCTAGAGGGCTCCCCATCGACCGGAGGCGCTGACTTCCTGTCTAATGACATCACTCTCATACCTTCAGCCCCATGTTAAACCATCACTGGACCCCTTCAGTTTGTCTACATGTGGTACCTTTACGTTCAACTGGATGAGACAGAGAGCACTGTGACAGTCATGACCTTTGACCTCTCCATCACCACCTATCCTATCCTGCTGAGGAAGTAGCTGATGGTGACGCAGGCAGACGCTCCCCTGGCATCATCTGATTGGTCGGCCGAAGCGTGTTAGACTACAGGGCTGCATGTCCGCCACTGTGGTGAGCGACACAGGATGTTCCTGTCACTGTTCCTGTCAGCCCTTTACACCTCAGCGTTCAAGTCAAAGTCAAGTCAAAATTTATTTATATAGCACATTTAAAAACAACCTCGGTTGACCAAAGTGCTGTACAGTTCATCTAAAGAATGAATGAATAGCAAAAACCACAAAAATTATCAATAAGATCAACAATAGGTTTAGACAATAAAACATCAACACTAGAATACAGGTAAAATACAAATAAAAGCTGTAAAAGACATGTCTGTCTCAACTAGAGGTGAAAGCAAGCGAAAAGAGGTAGGTTTTTAAAAGAGATTTAAAGTGTTCCAAAGTTTGGGCTGCCCTTATATGGAATTGTAAAGTATTCCATAAATTTGGCGCCACAACAGAAAAGGCTCTGTCACCTATGCTTTTAAGTTTAGTTCTGGGACAGGCCAGTAGCAGCTGGTTGCTTGATCTCAGTGCTCTGGCTGTCGTGTGAAGCTGAATAAGCTCAGATAGATCGGCTGGAGCTAAGTCATTCAGACTTTTAAAAACAAATAATAAGATTTTAAACTGAACTCTAAACTGGACAGGGAGCCAGTGCAAGGAGGCCAGTATTGGGGTGATATGATCACGTCTTTTCTTTCCTGTCAGCAGTCTGGCTGCTGCATTCTGGACAGCCTGCAGGCGTTTCAGTGACTGCTGGTCCAATCCAGCATAAAGAGAATTACAATAATCCAGACGACAGGTAATGAAAGCGTGAATTGCCCTCTCAAAATCAAGTGGAGGGAGGTAGGGCTTTGCCTTACTAAGTAGCCTTAACTGAAAGAAGCTTGATTTGACTACTGAACTAATCTGTTTTTTAAATTTAAAGGCACAGTCAAAAATTACTCCTAGGTTCCTTGCAGCAGGTGACAGTAGGAAGCCAATGGGCCAATGGCACTGTTATAGCCATCTAAAAGGTCAGAATGGCCAAATAAAATAATTTCAGTTTTGGATTTGTTTAGGTTCAAGAAATTTGAAGCCATCCATGTATGAAAATCATTGAGACAGTTCAGCAGAGCTTGAATGGAGGCAGAGCTGTTTGTTTGAAGAGGAAGGTAGATCTGTAAGTCATCTGCAAAGCAATGAAATGTTATATTGTACTTTCTAAATATAGCGCCCAGGAGCAGCATATAAATGGAGAAGAGAATGGGGCCCAAGATGGAACCTTGAGGCACCCCGCAATTGAGTGAGGATGCAGCAGATGTATACTGGCCCATGTGAACAGAAAAACTCCTTTCTGATAAATAGGATTCAAACCATTTGAGCGCTGTACCTTTAAAACCTACACACAGGTCAAGACGTGATAAGAGAATCTTGTACTCTTGATCTACTGTGTCGAAAGCTGCAGTCAAGTCTAAGAGCACCAGAACAGCAGTGTTACCAGAATCAACAATTAAAAGCAGATCATTAAAGACTCTTAAAAGTGCTGTTTCTGTGCTATGGCGTGCTTTAAAGCCCGACTGAAACTTTTCAGAAATGCCATTTAAGTCCAGATGGGACTGCAGTTATTCATACACTACCTTTTCTAAGACACCTACACCTCCCCGTCCTGCCACCTGCAGACGTTCTCCGATGGCGCCGATGTAACTGTTGGCTGTATCAGAAGATGGAGGCGGAGCACTGTGGTGGCGAGGACCTCTTCGTGAAGAGGTGTGAGCCGAGACACCTGCAGCTTCACACTGACACCAGGAAGGAGTCTGAAAACACTCACTACACCTGTCTCCACCCAGAGTGTGGACACTGTTCAGGACTACAGGGACCTGGGAGGACATTTGGACATCAAACTGCAGTCTGATACCAACACGATGCACCACAGAACGCCACAGGAAGTCCTTTTTCGGTTTGCCGTCAGAATGTTCAGCTCACTCCCCTCAGACTGGGACAGCAGAGACATGAGGACCAGAGGGGACTACAGCCCTGATTTCCTGTCTCTGTCTCTGAAGCACAGATGTGATGTCAGTATCAACTGTATGATTATATCGTGTGTGTGTGTGTGTGTGTGTGTGTGTGTGTTTGCGCGCACGCACAGTGAGGAATGAGACAGGTGTGTGGTTCGTCTTCCTGCCGGTGGCTCCTCTCAGGTCAGCGGCAGCAGTAATTCCTGCTCTGGCTGCCGTCACCATCGCTCTGGGTCTGCTGTCATCTGTGCTGCTTTGTCACCTGCTCTGCTTCCACATCTACCTGAGTAAGAACACACACACACTCACACACACACACACACACACACAAACTCTATACATCATCAGTATTAACATATTAGTGTTTCCCTCATATTGATTTATGTGTAAAGGTCTGGACACTCCAAACTGACTTCAGAGAAGTAGCGGTAACAAAAACCGACTGCTGCGTGCTCCTAAAGACATCATAAAGACTCCAGCCGACGGCCAATCAGCACGTCCGTTCTGCTCCTGCTGAGAGGAAATGACTCTCCACAGCAGCAGACGGCGGTCGTCTGTATTCATCGTTGAAAAAGGGAAACAGGAAGAGCGTCTTGATGCTAGTTAGCCAGTTAGCACTTTAACAACACAATCGGAGCATATTTAACGTGCGCCAGTGAACAATAACACAAACCACCAGGAAACGTTTCTGCTGCTCCTTTACGCACTGATGCTTCTCTGTTCTCTGATTCAACACGCTGATTCAGCTGAGAAAAAGCCAATCAGGGCTGACGATGTGGGACACATGGCAAAGACAAGGGCGACAGACTAGCCAGACACGGACTGATGGCTGACAGTTGGCTCAGTGTGTCAGGGCCTTAACAGCCAACTGATAACAGATCTTTTTTTGTTACTGTTGTATTTAAAAGGGGTGAAATCTTATTTGAATGTAGAGCAGCGTGCAGCGTCTCCTCTCCTTGCCCTGCTCTGTCTGTTTATCAGAACACATATGAGACGAGCTAAATGAGATCACTTAACATCCTCTAGTCAGCTCCACCTCACTCCCCGCCAAGGAGACCACGTCACTTTGGCTGATCCACAGATGTTTTTTATCTGTGTGTGTGTGTGTGTGTGTGTGTGTGTGTGTGCGCAGTGTGGAACAGACTCAGTACGTATGAATACATCGTGCGGCAGCGTCACCGCCAGGACAACAGAGACTCGAGGAAACCAGGACCAGTGAAGGAGACAGCGACGGCGGCTCCGTCTGTTCACCTTATCAAGGTAACTATCGGAAGGAAACAAACTCAGTGACACAGTTTAAAAGGAGGGATGATGTGAAGGGCCAATCAGCAGCGACACTCTGCAGGTTGCAGCCAGTCAGAGAGAGAGTCCAAACAAACAAACAGAGAACATGTTTTCTTGTGGTGGTCCTGTTAAAATGAGCAGTGGGTGAAGTTTCTATATTATGTTATGATCGGGGAGTTGATACTCTGACATTAACTAGCACTAGCATAGCTAGCTGAGTTTTTGACTGACAGGATTGTGAGCCCCTGATTGGACACATTAAAAATGATTGACAGATACCTGCCCTCTCTCCGGCTCTGCAGGAGGAAGATATTTAAAAGACAGAACATAAAATGATTCATGTCTGAACTCATCAGTGTGTAAAATAAATCCTTAAGTATTCAACAGCAGTGTGTGTGTGTGTGTGTGTGTGTGTGTGTGACCTCACAGTGGAAACATGAGCTGTAGTAGCTGTACTATTTGACTGTGTGTGGTCTAGTCTAATTCCTGGACTGAGTGTCTGTCCTTTGCTGTCCCCCCTCAGGACGTGAACTATCCAGGCAGTCTGGGTTACACCAACCCACAGCTGGACGTAGAGGAAGCTACCACTGTGGCAGTGCGGGGGGAGTCAGAGTGAGTCTCTGTTAACACACCTCATTAAAACAGAATTAAGTCACTGCAGACCGCACCTCTCTGCGGCGGGCTGGGCTCGGCCCACGACCTGCTGCCATTGGCTGAGGCCGGCTGACCTGGTCCCGACATGTTTCAGTAAACAGTCATTTCATAACACAATGAGGCTCCAGCCACTGCGGTCGCCATGGACACTGTTTTCTTTACAGAAAACAAAGTGTGCAAAATGAAATTCTTTGGCCATGACTTCCAGGAAGCAAACAAAGTGTGTATTGTATGTGTGTGTGAGCTGAGGGAGGAGGGAGCTGTGTGTGTGTGTGTGTGTGTGTGTGTGTGTGTGTGAGCGTCTAACAGAAGGTCTTCATAAATAACTTGACTCAGAGCTCGTCTGCTGGGACTCTCTTTATTTATCCTGCAGCTCTCACAGTGGACAGAGGACAGCCTCTCTGATGAAATTAACACACACGTTTCAGACCAAACTCTCGTCCTGTCATCTTTATTACAGCAGCACTTATTTCTTTTTCTGTTTAGATCTGAAAAACGAAATTTGTGATGTTCCCCCTAAGAGCAAGAAAACATCATGTGATACTCAATAAACACCTCCTATTCTCAAAACTCCTTTAACTACTAAAATACTTAACTTCTAAAAAAACTACTGTTACAATAAAGTAAATTAAAAACAGTTACATAAAGTTAATGTTATAATAAAGTTAAAAGAAGTATTGTTATGGTGAAATAAGTGGACTCACTGATCCACATGGTGGTGCAGTGGTTCACATGGTCACCTCACAGCCAGAGGGTTCCTGGTGTGAAACCCCGGGGTGGGGAGCCCATCTCTGTCAGCGTGGGTTTCCTCCAGGTGCTCCGATGTGTTCTCCCCGTGTCAGCATGGGTTTCCTCTGGGTGCTCTGACATGTTCTCCCCGTGTCAGCGTGGGTTTCCTCCAGGTGCTCTGACATGTTCTCCCTGTGTCAGCGTGGGTTTCCTCCAGGTGCTCTGACATGTTCTCCCCGTCTCAGCGTGGGTTTCCTCCAGGTGCTCTGACATGTTCTCCCCGTGTCAGCGTGGGTTTCCTCCAGGTGCTCTGACATGTTCTCCCTGTGTCAGCGTGGGTTTCCTCCAGGTGCTCTGACATGTTCTCCCCGTCTCAGCGTGGGTTTCCTCCAGGTGCTCTGACATGTTCTCCCCGTGTCAGCGTGGGTTTCCTCCAGGTGCTCTGACATGTTCTCCCTGTGTCAGCGTGGGTTTCCTCCAGGTGCTCTGACATGTTCTCCCCGTCTCAGCGTGGGTTTCCTCCAGGTGCTCTGACATGTTCTCCCCGTGTCAGCGTGGGTTTCCTCCAGGTGCTCTGACATGTTCTCCCTGTGTCAGCGTGGGTTT